GTGCGCCGCTTGGGAGCATGGTAGCGCTCCCGCCGAGGGTTCGGATCCCATGTGGAGACCGGTTCCCACTCACTGGCCGAGTGCAGTGCGGGCGCAACACCGAGGGTTGCGATCCCATTGCCGGTCCCCGGTACGGGCGCGACACCGAGGGTTGTGATCCCGTTACCGGTCAGTAAAAAAGACAAAAAGGAAAAAAGAAAAAATTAAGACCACTGTTCCCACTCTGACTTCACACTTCCCCTCCTGGGGTGGCTTTGGAGTGGCTGTGGGTGTTTTGGGGATCTGGTTCAGGGGAAGTTGAGTTGGGACTATATTTAGTTTATTTGGGTTTAATGAGATCTGTTTACGTGGTTTGCAGTCTCTTCTGTTCAGAGTTAATTCTCTGCTGGCTGTCTTGGTGTACAAGAGGCTCTTAGGAGTCCTGCTAGTACCCACTGTGCTAATTCACTGGGTGTCAGGATATGAAGGTGCATGGTCAGAGCTTGTAAGGGGACATCAGTGTGTTCTATGGTGCCATGCAATGGAAGAGAAACAAGGCATAAAATATATGGATCCAGAAACTAGTTATATATGTGAACTTGGAAGTGGAAATTTTGGTTCTTCTTGATGCCTGGTCAAACGAAACCTCTCACCTGTCAGGAATATACTTCTTAATGCAGTGTATACAATTATAAATGTATCATATATTTTCTCTTTTTTTATGGGAATCAGATGAAATGGAATTTATTTAAATTCCCGTGTTTATAGGGTATAACCCTACAGCAATACTACTAATATTGAGTGCATTTTTATGTGAAGTTATATATTTTATACATCTTCAAAATATTGACATCACCAAAGATAATATAAAACTCATAATGTGCCACTATAACTAGGACATCAATAATAAACTGGTAAAAGAGTTTCAATAAAGTCTAAGTATTTGGGAAAATTTTAAATACCTTGAAATCTTACAACTCCCATATGAAAGAAACTTGATAGAGGTTTCCCCAAATTTCACAATAATCTTAAAAATTTACATAACAATACTAATAAGGAATTTTTAACATGAAAGAAACTTCTCTAAACTATCAATAATAAACAAATTTTGATTACCAATGGTAAAAGAAAGACTGAATTATTTTTCTATTTTCTTTATAGAAAATGATATTCCAAAATTCTTGTTCATATGAAGAGTCAAAGAGTCTGCAGCCCCTCAAAAATGTAGGAAATAAGCACTTAGAGGTGTATCAGACAACTAATTTAAAAATTGTTATTAAAATTTTTTGTGATGTTTATAGTTTTTCTCAACTTTTAAAATTTTGTAATTTGTTGTGATATCATTTGTCATTCTAAAAAATACTCACTTTTGAACCTAATTTTATATTTGTAATTTTGTTTCTTTTTTTTTAAGTCCCTCAAAGTGGTATAAACTAAGCTTCAGTTGTCACAAAACATGGGTCTGTCCCATGTCCTCCCTTTATCTTCCTATGTTTGGGTGGTTTTGAATGTAAAGCACTATCATCTTCAGAGTCTCAACTATAGGCAATTGGTGTGTGACTGGCTTCTATACAGACATTTTAGATGCCTCCTAACCTTTTTTTGTTTATAGGATAAGTTTAGTTTCCAGAATTAACCAGGAGCTGAGGATCACTCCCTTCTGATTCACTCATGGAGCTTGAGGTTTAATCTTACCGAGCCGCTTAATTCTAGAGTCGCTCTGAGCCCAGGCTCCAGGGACAGATTCCTTCTTCCTTTGCCATATGGCTGCCTCTAGAATGGAGGCAGAGTTGAAGGGATAAGGGGGAAGAGGACCACATGTGTGCAGAATTCTAATCTGATGGTTCTTAGGGAGTGCCTCCTAATTGGTTCCAGTTGGTATATCTTGCAGAGAAATCTGGCAGAAATGAGAAAGTAGAAGGCGTATGATGAACAGTTGAAGGAAGTGGGGCTACTTAGCCTAGAGGAAAGATATCACTGTTGGAGACCTATATCAGCAGCTCTCGCCAGAACAGTACTGCATAACAAACCTATTCAAAACTCAGTACCATAAGAAAAAAAAAAAAAACAGTACCATAAGGCAGTGGGTATTTATTTCTTGAGTACATAGATATGTGGATCAGCTGAGATTCACCTGATCAAGGCTGTGCTCAGATGGGCTTAGCTCCAAGCAGTGTGCTAGGCCCAGGTCTGCTCCATGTGTCCTTTATTGTTCTTGCACCAGCAGCTACCAGAGGCATGTTCTTTTCATGGTGGAAAGCCCAAAAGACCAAGGCCACCTTTTCATGCACATTTCAAACCTCTGCTTACATTACATCTGCTAACATCCCATTGGTTGAAGGAAGTCAATGGCCGAGTCTAAAGTTAAATAGGAAAGTCACTCTGTCTTGCTTTGAGGACAAAGCAAGTCATATGGGCAAGACACATCAGTAGGGTAGGGACGATGGAGTTGGAAGAATGGAGGCAGTGGATCAAAGTTAAATAGGAAAGTCACTCTGTCTTGCTTTGAGGACAAAGCAAGTAATATGGGCAAGACACATCAGTAGGGTAGGGACGATGGAGTTGGAAGAATGGAGGCAGTGGATGCTTGATGAACAGTCATCTAATACTCCACCAGAGCTGTCATGTCAAAGAAAGAGCGGCTTTCCTCACCTCTCAGTCAGTCCTCAACTCGCTGCAGTCTGTCCTCATTCCCTGCTCTTACCCAAATCACTGCATTACTTATTTTGCTATCTTATATCTAGAATCTGACTCCTATTCTTCATTCTCACTGAATTGCTCAGCTAGATTGCTGCTACAGCCTGCTAACTACTCTCCTTGTCTCTGGTCTTGTCTTTTCCTGATTCATTATCCACAGAGCTGCCAGCTATTATCAGTATCTCATCAGCATCTGCATCATCATCATTGTTATCTATTTTGCATTACATTTATTGGTTTACATACCTGCCTTCTTCATTATCCTGAGAGCTTCTGGATGGCAAGAACTGTCTTTTATTTATCTTTGACTCTCCAGCATCCTGCACTGGGTCTGACACATAGTAAAACTTCAATAAGTTAATATGAAAAGAAGAAGCAAAGAAGGAAGAAAAGATTTAAGTCTACGTGACCCTAAAGCTCATGCTCTTTCTTCCCTACCATAACATATCCTTAGTCACAGATGTGTTGCTAATAACAATAAGGATAAAGCTCAAAGCCTCCCACTGCTATACCAGTGGAAAAGCAGGCTACTATCTCTAGAGTAACTAAAGATTCTTTCTCCCGTAATAACAATAATCCTTCCTAATCCGAATTCTTCTAAAATGGAAAGGTCTAGAAGCTATAAAAATTTTAAATGGCCATAAGCATTTTAAGTATATGAAAAGATGCTCAACTTTACTCTTAGAGAAATACATATGCCATTTTTTACCTACCAGGTTGGCAGAGATCAAAAAGGTTTTAACATTGTATTGGTGCAGGGTGTGGAAAAAGACATTCACAAGTATCGCTGATGGGAATGTAAATTGGTTCAACCTCTATGGAGGGCAATTTGGCAATATCTATCAGCTCTTTATGTACTGATATAGAAATCTCTCCAATATATCTTGTGTTGTAAGTGAAAAGGCCAGATGCAGAAGTGGAATACAGTGTTACCTTTTGTGTGTGTTGTAGGAAGAAAACCAGATATACATACATATTGTTATTGCTTAGGCAAGCTCTGGAAAGATATACAAGAAATTGTTAATAGTGTGTGCCTTTGGGGAGGGGAATTGAGCTGGAGAACAAGGGTAAAAGGAAGATTTATTTTTCATTGTATATTCTTTTATATTTTTAAAATTTTGTACCATATAGAATAGAATTGTTTAGATGCCAGAAACACTATTAGAAGATCAACAACAAACTGGAAAACACATTTGCAACATAATATGGCAAAGGCCTACTTTTCTTAATCTACAAAGAGTTTATAAATCAGTTTTTTAAGTTAAGAGAGGGAGAAGTAAGAAATATAAGTACCAGTTTTAGAAATAAATACAAATGGCCAATAGTCATATGAAAAAGATGCTTAACTCACACATTATTTAAAAAAAGAAAATAAAAAGCAGAAGGAAACTGTGGAAGAAGAACTGAACTCTATTATTAGATGTGTTTATGTAGAGAATAAATAACCAATCATTAAGGTTGTTGAGGGGTCTCTTTTAATCATCTGATAAAGAAAAGGTTTCCAGCATCTGAAGGAACTAATTCCTTCCGATCCTTAGAGTCTTTAATTTTTTATAATACCCAATGGAGGTGTGTTGATAAGGTCAAGCAAACCATCCTAAGGAAAAGAGGGAAAGGAAAATAATGGAAGTTCACCTACAGAGCACAAAATCTCAGAAATAGAAGGGATCTTGGATATTATTTTTTTGAACTTCCACCTAATACATCCCCTCCTGGGACTTTGTCCCAGACCTGCCACTTAGCAACATTGAACAAGTTTATTAATGTATCATTCATTCATTCACTCAATAAATATTTACTGAGTTTCTTCTGTATGTCAGGCATAGCCCCTCTCCTCATGGAAACAGATACTAATCAAATATTTATTCAAGCAAATGTAAAATGGCAACTGTGGCTAGCATTATGAAGGCGAATTATGCACTGCTATGAGAGCCTAAGAGTATGACATGATCCCAACAGGAATTTTAGGAAAGTTGAGCTGATTGGGATAAATAGGATTTAACTATTAATAATAATAAGGATAGAAAAAACATACTAGGCAGAGGAAACAGCATGTGAAAAAGCCCTATCAGAAGGGATCAGGACAGACTAGGATGGGAAAGACTGGAAATAGTGATGAAAGTGTGGTATGAGGTGAGGCTGAGGCAAAGTCCCACCTTAAGGGGTTCAATCATTGCCCTAAGATCAATGGGAAGCCTTGAGAGGGTTTGGGGATGAAGGAAAAGGGGACATGTGCCTTGCTGAGATTCCCATCTTGAAGCTATTACTCTGGCTGCAGAGTAGAGAATGGATTGGAGGAAGGCGACAGCAGAGATGCACAGGTGAGTTAGGCAGGAGGTTCCACAGACAGGAGATGATGGCTGCAGAGCATGATGATGAGCATGCAGAGGTCAAGCAATCTGTACACATGTGAGAGATGCTTAGGAAGTCCGATTGACAAGACTTGATGATGGATTCGATCTTCAGAGTGACAGAGAGGAAGGAATATGTCACTAATGTTTCCTAAGCTTTTGGTATGCACAGCTGGGCAGATGATGGTACCGTTCACTGAACAACGGGAGAGAACTAACTTTGGGAGGAAATATCAGAGTTCAGTGTAGAACACACCAGATTTGAGATGCTTTTGAGAAGACATGCCAGTTGGCGACATTTACTTATGGAGTGTCTGCTATGCAGCTGGAAGTGGAATATGCAGGTTTATTTATTTGTGAAAAAGAAAAAAAAAAGAATAAACTCAATTTCCCCTTCTTTGAGTGGACATGCCAGTTGGCGACATTTACTTATGGAGTGTCTGCTATGCAGCTGGAAGTGGAATATGTAGGTTTATTTATTTGTGAAAAAGAAAAAAAAAAGAATAAACTCAATTTCCCCTTCTTTGAGTGTTGCACTATTCTGTTGTCTGTTCCTTCTTACTTTTGTCATTTGTCTATTTTCTGACTCTCTCCACTCCTCCCCACTTGTTAGATGGAGTGATCCAATACCTTACATTTGTAGTTTCTTTTCCTGTTAATTTCTAAAGACCTGCATTACCACTCCACTTCACTATCTAGTCCATCGGCCACACCATGAACCTTATCACTAAGAACTCATCAATCTCAAACATCTCAGTTTCTAACTGTATCCTCCTATCCTTCCAGTTTTCTCATCCCCCACCCCACCCTACCCCATGTCCTGCATCCTCCTCTATTCACTGTCCTATTTCTTTCTTTCCTATTATTTCCAAACCTCCCTAGAAGGATTTCCTCCCTATTGTGGCCTGGCACATAGCAGATATTCAACAAATATCTGTTGACAGGATGAACACCTCCACTTCCTTACCTTCCATTAATTCCCCAACCCAGTGGAGCTAGAGTTGATGTGGCCTGGCACATAGCAGATATTCAACAAATATCTGTTGACGGGATGAACACCTCCACTTCCTTACCTTCCATTAATTCCCCAACCCAGTGGAGCTAGAGTTGACCTCCAGCACTCCACCTTAGGCCAAACCCAGTGCATACTTTTCAGCCTTTATTTTACCAGACTTCTCTTCGGCATTGCTGACATTGTTTCCTATTACTTCCTTTTCAAACTTTATGTTTTCTTAAATTCTGCATTTTCTGTCTCTCTGACTACTTTTTCTTGGTCTCTTTCAAAGGATCCTAATCTTCAAGGATTGTTTCCA